TATTCCTTTGGAGGGCCACAACATTTCAATGAAAAACCCAAACCAATAGATATTTTAGGAAGGTTGTTTTTTTTTCCTATTATACGACCAAATATTTTTTATGAGAAATAAAATCCTCAAGAGAAAAATATTATTTTTGACATCTAGTCGTGACACCGATGTTGGTGGTTCATGAGTTTAAGGTGGCACAACATCATATGAACAGAGTATTTTTGAATCTGTTTATAAGAAACCGTCTTCCTCTGAATAAGTGTGTGTGCGCGGAGAAGTGTTGTTGTGATAACATATGGTGAGTGTGAAGGAAACTGTTCAAACTTGTCTCACTACCTCACACAACCACATGTGAAAAAACCCATTTTGTTAAATAAGTACAGACTGAAACATGTTGTTCAATCTGTGCTCCTGTGGAATGAGAAAGTGGTTGTTTCCTTAGACAGCCAGTGTAACTCAACAGAGAAAGTGTTTCAGAAACACAAAGCATGCAATTACATGGTAATATATCATAAAACCTTATTCTTAAAACAGGGGTGTCAAACATACGGGCCAAATCCGGCCCGCTTGATGAATTGAAGAAAAAAATACACAAACACTTCATGCTCAGGAAATGTTTTGTGAATTTATATTTCATAAAATATGTAGATTTATTGAATGTACTTTTTTGCATTAAAAAGGGGAAAAAAGAAGACGTTATTTATATGTAATTATGTTATGATTGTACTGGTCCGACCCACTAGACATCTTAACCAAAATAAGTGAATTTTTTTTTTAAAGTTTTTAGCTTATTATAAACTTTTTAGACAAAAAAATGTTTGGAATATCACTTTTTTGCTGTCGTTAATATAATAATTATTATGAGAATAATTAATTCATCAAAGTGTTAATATTTATTTTGCTGCATTGAAAAAATATTAAGAATTCCTTTTTGACACAGCCTTAAACCTTTTTTTTTTTAATTCAAATTTAATAAAGACCTAATTCTTGAAAAAAAAAAAAGATCCAAAGTTCCACCAAAATATGTTCTGCAGGGGTAAAAAGTGGTGTTAAAAAAAGTAATTTCACACCCTGGTACACATACACTGGGATAGCAATCACACCTGTGCGCGTGTGTGTGTGTGTGAGTGTGTGTGTGTGCTATATACATACGGGGTGTCAGCAGGATGACCGAGGTGACAATCAGGGAACAGATGATGAGGATGACCAATAGAGCGATGGCTATTCCCTTCCAGTTCCTCTGAGGTGGAGCACTGCCCACAAGGTCCTGGGGACAAGAAAAAAAATACACACACGTTATATATACAAATTAAATTAACATTGACACACAAACACACACTTGCCTCAATATCATCCGTTTAAGCCGTCACGGAGAAATCCTGCAAACAGTGCATTTTGGAGTTCCTTCCATTACAAATGAGACAGAGGCTTCTGGTTCGGTCACCGCTGGAGGCAGAGACGTGCTGAAGGACAGTTCGCTCACTGTCACACAGACGCTGGAAACTCTGCAACTCGTGCGTCTTAACACAGTATCCTCCTGTTGCCCCCTGCTGCTCATATACGAAGTGTGCCTGCAGCTCAGTCTGCTAACTGGAGAGGAGCTGAGGCGTCAATTGTGAAACAACAGGCAGAATAATAGGCTGCGCTCTTCACACAGCCCAGCAAATGGATAATGGTCTATAGAGAAAAACACATCTGCCACGGAACCACAGGACACACCAAACTCAAGTGTGGGAAATGGCAGTCAGGAGCACAGCCTCTGGATCCTAATGCGCTGTAAGTGATTTCTCTGGTAAAAACCCAAACATGTTCCTCACAGCATCACCGACGGCAGCATTTTAATGCAGGTTACACACTTTTATCTCCACATTAGTAGCTTTGCTGCATCTCACTTGTGAAACAACAACCAGGAACAAACAGCTAAAGCCTTGAACCTTCAAAAAAAAAAAACTTTTTTTTTTTCTTCAGTCAGACTGTACCAAGCATTGGGCACAAATCATGATGCAAATGCAGCAAGAACGTGAAACCACAAAATACTGTTTACATCACCAACAAGTCTATGTACTTCTGTAAAAAACAATTGACATGACGCAACTATTTCTGACAGATTGTTTTTCTTTTCGATTATTGTCGTGATATTTCTTTGGTGCTGTATGGGGACAGGACAGGTAAAACGGATGAGAGGAAGGTGAAGAAGAGGTAGGTGGCTTTACCAGGTAACTCAGCACTGTTGCTAGGTAGATGGAGTAGTTACTGGTTTAATTATATGCGTTACTTGAGCGAGTAATGGGAGTGTAATTGCGCGAATAATGTGACAGAAAGGTATCACTTCGTGCTCGGTGTGAGGTGAAGGGAGAGGAGAACGACAGCTCGACATCAGTCAGCATACTGTCATTCCTGTCTAATTAGTTCTTTTCGCGCACACACACACACACACACACACACATCCCTACACACACACACATTAATCTCTGGTCACAGTCGGTGAGGATACTGAGCAGCTCCAGTCACCCGTATCAGTCCGGTTGCTGAGATCTTTGTAACCAATTAGACCTGGTCTGTGCAGCGTGCGGCAGCTCAGTGAACCATCCTCATGTTGATGATGGTGGTGTGAGTTTCATCATGCGGCGTCCATGTGAAAGTCAAACACATGTTTTCGCCTCCGGCCTTCCGAGCTGCACAGCCCTCTCTTTGCTCCATCACCAGTGACTGTTCCATCTACATTTTTTAAAATGTGAGCACATGTGTGCATTTATGTTACCAGTGCACTTAGTGTCTGAGCGCAGTTTGTCTCACAACCGAGCAGATCGATACTGTAGGCAGTGAGTACACATAGAAAAACAACAGGCACGTCAATAACTGGATTCACGGCTGCAGAGTTAAGGACTTTCAGGATTAGATGCACAGATGTGTGTCCTGGATTCATTAGATATTAACCCGTCAGCACTATTAGCATAGTCTAATCGGAAAGACGTGCTGCAGAGTCCGTCTAGAAAATCAACGCTGCATCACACACACCTCTGGCAGAGACCGAAATAAAACAATCAGAAGTCTGGACAGGTACCCAGATACTGTAACAAGCCAAACTTTTTCCACGTGTAACCGGCCTGAAATAAGCTACCAAGAATAGAAGTGTAGCACGAAGCTGACCGGACATTACAGATCTATAAATGTGTCAGCTGGATTTATGCCACGCTACGTTGCTAAATTACTTTTCAGCGTTGGAATGGCAGCCAAGAGAGGAAATGGAAAGGAATATAAGGTCATTCTTGACTCACGAAGAAACCTGACATCAGGCCGGAAGTACAATTACCCCAGACAGCTTTCTATTTAACGTCTTCCGTGCAGTAAAAATGTCAAATAAACCTAACTTTGACTAGTGGCTCTCCACGTTGGCATTTCTGTAAATACAAGCTCGTTTATTCAGAGAGGTCAGAGAGATTCTCCACAAATCAAATCAATAGAAAATCAAATACTGTGTTAGATGTTTGTCATTTGTCCATTAAAATCCCCAACAGATGAAAATCCACATGAAAAGGATATGACTGCTAACCTTCAGGGCCGCTATGCTGCGACACAAAACACCAACATGAGCAAGAAGTGGTCGATATTTATCATACTTCCTGTAATCCACCTTGTTTACATAATAAACCTTTGACCGATTACGACCTCATTAAAGTCCTATGATGGACTTTTAGATCTGGAAGAGTTTGGACATGACATGTCATGAAAGAAAAAGAAAAGTCCTCCTCTGTGAGCCTTAAAGACCTTTTCAACAGTGACTCAGACTCCATTTCTGATTCCCTATTAGTGGCAAATAGAAAAGTCCAAACCTTCAGAAGGTCGAAAACCAATTTAAGGGCAAGGACAATGTAGTTCTGGGAGAGCTTGCCTTTGCGGTAAATATCTCAAAATAGTACACAACAATGAAAGTACTGTCACTTTCTGTTCTTTCTTCCTCCCTGCAACGATTGAAAACCATACTGGCTACTGATCAGAGATCACGTTACTGGATGGCAACTAGTCATTATGTAATTTTGGATTCTAACCTGGACAAAGCACTGGAAGACAAACAAAACCACCATCACTGTCTACATACATTTAACAAACAAAAACATCACAAAGATTAGTCCAATAAGAAAAAACTTTTTTTAAACCACTGTTTCATGAGAGTTTAAGCATTTCAGCTCTAATTGCTTCATTCTACTGTGCAACAATACTCCACTCCAGCCACCTACTCACTAACCAGCCTCACCATTTAAAATCCAGAACCAAAATGGCTAATTTCCCCTGATGTTAAGTGTGTATAAAAACTTGCTGCAAACACACAAACACACACACACACACTTGTCCAAATGTTGACCTTTCTGAAGAGCTTTTAACATGGAAAAAAAAGAAAAGTGCCTGGAGAGGAATCCTGACGACCAGCAGTGTTTGCAGTAAACCCCTCCACTCTTGGTTTAAGTGAAGAGCAGACACACACGTCTTTGAGCCAATAACAATTAAAACCGCATCAGTAAACGACGACTGCAGCCGTTTCCACACTCTGCAGATGCCACATCGAGGCAGCAGAGAGAAGTCAACAACATTTCTTCAGGTCTGTTTGATGCTATTTTAATTCCATTCCAAGTCAAAGGGGGCTTTAAGATGAAGCATCTTTTGAGGTCAAGCTTTCCAAACACCCCACGTACCCCCCTCCCTCTCTCTCTTTTTCTAATCCTCACTTCCTCCTTCTTCCCTCTGCCTAACCATCCCTTTGTCTCCACTCACTGCTCAAGTGTGAAATGGATCTTTCCTGATCTCTGAGCACCTGGTTTCCAAGGGAACCAAGAGAGCTATTGGTGTTAAATTTGTGGTGAAACCGTGCCGGCTGCTCGACAGTACAGTGGGGACCAATATCACGGCCGTGTGTCATGGGAAATTTGCCCTGGGAGCCTAAAGATATGAACTCAGAGCCGGGGAAATGAGACATACAGACACCTGAAACGAAAACGAACCTCAACTGTCGAAAGACATCGGACACTTGACATGTGATATATCACTCTGACGAAATGCAGTCAGAGTCAGGGAGCAGTCAAACTGCAGAGAGGCAGTAACCTTGGACATAGGGGTAAACTTTCCTCTGGAACCGCATCAATAAATCATGTCCATTCATGAGTAAGATTAAGAATTCATGCCAACTGGCTTTTGGTTCATAGATAGCAGGACATCAGCCGGCGTCTGTCCTTGGAGCCTGACTTTGTCTAGTGTTTTATAGAAAGATGGACCTCGATCTGTGTCTGTTCACATGGGAGCTTCATTCAAAACTGGAAAGACGGTCAAGTTCAGTTCAGATTTTAGTTTTGAACTGTGACAGGGGCAGAAGGAGAACGAACTGCAGATCAATTTAAAAACGACTCTTTACGCCTTTGGTATCATCATAAAAAAAACCCCAACTTCCTGAAGGATTCTTCCTCAGACAAAACTTAAAACAAGCACACAACACTAGACTCTTAACTCAGAACCATTGCTGAACTAAATTCCAGTCTCGAAAGACAAAAACACTTCAGCTACAGTATGTGCAATACCTGCTAACATTTGTGGAATAAATTCTAAAGGTGAGCAGCACACTTCAGAGATGTCACTTATCACAAAGTCAAAGTTAAAAGAAAAACTCAATCAAGTGTCAAGTTGGTTTAACCCATGTTTGTGTGGCAGACTACGAACCTCAAGACCCTGGAATCAGATCAGTGCATGAAGAACAAAGTTGGTATTGAGCTTCTATTTTTGCCAGCTTAAAAAAAAAAAAAAAAAGTGAGCACAGTAGCTGAAAGGTGCAGAAGGACCAAATATGTTCAGCACAATAGGAAGGAACAAAGACTTCTGATTTCAAAAGTAGAATCAAGAAGGGTAGACAGGAGAGAGCCATGAACCCAGACTGGGTTTCAAAAAGATTAGAATTTGAGTGAAAGTACAGAGAGAGAGGGGGAGAAACAGGGAGAGAGAGGGGGGGGGGGGAACAGGGAGAGAGAGAGAGAGAGAAAAAACACGAGCCTTTCCTTTTCACTTGATTTATGACAACAGTGACTTTGTGCTGAGGAGTTAATGGCCTCAGTCACTGATGTCAGGACATGTTTAATAAGACATGATGCCAATTATGTAAATATAATGAAAGTTAGAGAATATCTGAAGACAAACGCTAGCACTTAATGGAGCGTATAAGTGGGAAAAAATATGCCACTGCCAGCTGGAGCCAATCTGTGGGATCAAATTCCATATGAATTTCCT